CTTCCCCTGTACATTCCTTGGCATTACTGTCTGTTATATCTCATTATTATTCTGTTAAAAAACACGGAAAAACGAGCCCTTAGGTATACACTTCTTCCCTTATTTTTATATATATATATATATATATATATATATATATATATATATATATATATATATATATATATATATATATATATATATATATATATATATATATATATATATATATATATATATATATATATATCAACGCGCTCAATAATTGTTGTGCTTCATGCCGATCGACTGACGATGTCGGCTGAAGCAGCGATCCTGAAATGAACTCTTAAGACACTGCTACAGTCATTCCCATCCCCCGAGATCTTTAAAACGGTGACTTTTTATCTGCAGTACCATATTATACAAGGAAAACTGTTTTGTGTATCGATTGATCTGCTAGCCAAACTGACAACACCCCCGAGCAGTATAAAAGCTTTGCAGATGATTTTAGTGCGACAAAACATTTTCCGGACCGTTCATGGCTTTCGTAGCTTGTCATCGTCACAGTCACGGTTGGCAAAAAAAAAAAAAGCATAAAGCACTAACATTGCATTGCGAAGTGCTTTTTTCAACGGAGCAGTACAAAAATGCGCGCGTGCCGCTGTTGACTCGTGCGGTGCGTCGAACCGGAAGCCGTAATACCCCACAGTTCCCTGCGATTGCCCATTTTACCGGTTGCCTACTCACGACCTGCTCTATAAACTTACGACCTGCTCATGCCACCACTACCCATGTTACACCCATGTCGCCAGGTTTGCTTTTGCTTGTTTAACATTTTTAGTTCTCAAAAGTGCCGCAGCACGCCGTGGCGCCACAAATAACCCTCATTTAAAGTCCCTGAAAAATAAACTAAAGTAGCGCCAACCGCACCCCTTCGCCTCTACGGATGGATGGATGCTATGAGCGTCCCCTTTATAACGGGGTGGTGACAAGTATGCCACCAGGCTCGACCAAAAAAAAAAAAAAATCTTTTTTCCCTTTTTTTTTTATGTTGGCCTAATACCTCTACTTCGATAAATTCTATCTTAATGGAAAAAAGGTAAATTTTCAGCTTAAGTTCTCTGCCATTTACGGCACACTGTCCATATTTTATTTTTCCAATATTTATTTTTGTCCTTTCTCTCTAATTTTCTGCCACCAATATTCTAACCGTCTCTTACTTATTTCAATCGCTGGTGTGTTCAGCTTTCCATTGTTGTCCCTAAAACCCAAGGCTTCCTGTAGGTTCGTGCCCAAACGTACACCTGGGTGGATATCTCCACATTCAATCAGAACATGTTCCGCCGTTTCCTTATCTTTCCCGCAGCATGTGCATTGTTCTTCTTCTTTACTGAATCTTGCTTTATAACTACGCGTTCTAAGGCAACCCGATCTCGCTTCAAACAGTAAAGCGCTTCCCCTTGAATTATCGTAAAATGCCTCCCTCCTTATTTCATTTTTGCCCTTTCGGTAGTTACTCAAAGCCGGTTTTTTCTCCATAGCTGCCATCCAGTAAATCCTCTCCGCCTCCCTGACTTTTCCCTTAACGCTCTTTGTTGACATACGGCTTACAATACCAGCCGTATACTTACTAGTGAGTTTTCTAGTTCTTTTTCTCCACTGTGTGTCCACGCTCTTCCTATACAAATAACGGAACACCTTCTCTGCCCATCTACTCTCCTTCATATTTCTTAGCCTTTCTTCGAACCTTATTTTGCTCTGCGCTTCCCTCGCCTCAAAACCTGCCCACCCCATATCGCCCTTTACAGCCTCGTTTGTCGTCTTCCCGTGAGCACCCAACGCGAGGCGTCCCACAGTCCTTTGATTTACATCCATTCCCGATTGCACCTCTGCCCTCATGCACACCACTGAGTTCCCAAAAGTAAGCCCTGGAACCATTACACCCTTCCACAGACCTCGAAGCACCTCATACCTATTGTATCCCCACAACGCTCTGTGCTTCATTATTGCCGCATTCCTCTTTCCTTTTGCTGCCGAGGCTTTTTCCTGTACCTCCATGTATCTATCACTCTCATTTACCCATACTCCAAGGTACTTGTATTCACTTACCTTCGGTATTTCTTGGCCTTGTATGGACACCGTCTGATCACAGGGATCATTGAATACCATCAAACCACACTTCGTTACACTGAATCCTAGTCCAAGAGCTTCACCTTCCCTTCCGCATATATTCGCCAGCTGCTGTATATCATCTCGACTGTCCGCAAATAAGACGATATCGTCCGCATAAAATAAACCTGGAAGCTTCTGCTCAATCATCATGCCGCCCTGTTTGTGTGACAGATTAAAACCAATGTTGCTACCTTCTAGCGCTTTTTCCATACTCACCATGTACAGCATGAATAACAGTGGGGACAAAGGACATCCCTGTCTCAGACCCCTGCTAACCTCAACGTTCTCTTTGCTACGCATTCCTTCCCACTCTATGCAAACTGTATTTTCTCGGTATATCTCCCTCAAAAGCTGTATACAGTCGTCGCCCATGCCCATTCCTTTCAATATATCCCACAAAATTTCCTGATTAACGTTGTCGTATGCCCCAGTGATGTCTAGAAAAGCCACGTACAAGGGCCTATTCTCTATTTTAGATATTTCTATACACTGAGTGAGAACAAACAGGTTATCGTCTAACCGCCTGTCGACTCGAAATCCGTTCTGAAGTTCTCCCAAAATATCGTTATGTTCGGCCCATGTTTCTATTTTCATTTTTACTGCTTGCATCGCCAACCTGTATAGTACCGATGTAATGGTTAGTGGTCTATACGAGCGAATCTTGTCCTTTTCTCCCTTGCCTCTACCTCCTCTCCCAGCAGCGCCTCTAGAGTGTCCACCAGGAAACTACGAATGCGAAAGCACACGGATGTGCCAGACGCTTGGGCAGCTCGGGCACTGCTGCGCCGTGTGTTCATCGAGCGGCCGTGCCTCGGGCATGCTGAAAGGGAACGCCGGTGGCGTCTGTTAGAGGAGCGCGCGCTCTCGAAACTGGCCAAACAATATGGCGTTTGCGTTACCTTCACAAAAGCTAGTGCGTCATGCTGCAGATTTTTAGCACCGCCGAGTTTACAAGGACAGCAGCGGCGCTGCCATCGAGAGCGTCACCGCTAAGCGCGTCTGTAGAGTGTACTAGAAGCTTTTAGTCACTCTAGCGTCTGCACGCAAACGGTGGGCTATCGCGTTGAGTATTGCGTGCTTGCGGTGATGTATTTTGCCACTGCATGCCACTTGCTTATATACACGTCACATCGTCATATTTAACGTTACTTTTTATATATTTTTTTCTCAATCACTCTTTCGGTGCATCGTCTAGAACCGCAGCGCCCAGATGCGCTTTAACGGAAACATGAGCACAAGCTCATCTTTGCAGCCAGGAGCCATACAGCCCCTCAACTAGCATCGTTTGCTATCTGCAATGCACGCGAGGGGAGAGGAGTCCGCACATTGACACGAATGGCGCTACTTTAGTTTATTTTTCAGGGACTTTACCCTCATTGCTGAGGCCGCCAAAGCGCTTTACTGTGCGGTGCGTGCGTGCGTTGACTCATTTTTGCGCCATTTAAAGGTTAGCGTTCATCAGGGTATTTGTTCAAGACTCGAGGGCGTTAGGGTACGACCGGTACAGCACCATTCACATAACGGCGTACTGCTGAGTTCTATTCTGCAAGTCGAGCAACCGGTGGTCAACTGGGATATCGTTTCACGAATTTCCCGTCACTTAGATTCGACAGCGCCATAAAGTTTGTGGAATACAACAGAAACAATTCAAAGTGATTTAGCCAGTTATAACGCATGGTATAAACTGATACTTGCGTTTCTAGAAAACATTATTGCCTTTACAGAAATGGAGCGCGCCAAAAGCTGTTGTAACTTAATGCGCTGTATTTTGCTGCTCCAGAAATTAAAGCTCAGTGACATCGCCGGTGAGACACACACGGAAACGCCAGCGGCGCTCGAACAGTGATGCAACGAATTGCTGCGGGTGCAAGAAATCACTGTAACAACATTGCGGTAATCCACCGGTTTTATCGCGCACTTCTATCAATCGTTAGACATTCGCCAGACAATAGCACAACTAATCCCTTCTATTGTTATGAGTGAACAGTATCATAGAAGGACGATATACAGGGCATGAAAACTTACACGGGTCATCGCATGCGTCTTTAGTATCGCATGCGTCTTTATTGCGTCGCAGAAACACACTGATTTTAGGTTGCAACTCGTTACAAGATCGCTGCTTTGCCCACGGAAGAATTATTTCAGCACCTTCTAAACAGCGGTTAGGTGGGGCGTACTGAGCAAAAGAAAATGGTGGTGTGTCGCATATTGCTCGCGTTCGTCTGCGCTTATATGACCAGGACACAAAGCGCTCACGCAGAATGAGTTCCTGCAATGAACATCCTGGAGCCAACCACTATGGTGCTTCTCACAGCTAGAATGTTGCTTCGATTCGTTTATTCTGTGGGTTGCTCGATCGGCGAGTTATACATAAGATAAAAATTGGAGAAACGCACGCACACGAATGCACCACTACGAAAGCACGTCGTCTGCTATGAGGGTAAGTCGTGGCGGCACCTCGCGGTATCTCCGGTCCCTACGCGCCAATTTTTGGGCCCACGCGCTTTCATAGGGGTGGCGCCGATGAGCAGGTCGTAAGTTTATAGAGCACACCTTTTTCCTTCCTCCGTAATAGAGCAGGTCGTACACCTACTATAGCCCAATGTTTCTAGTTCTAGAAACGTTGGGCGAGCCACCCTACGGTCCTACCACCTTTCTTTCCTGCGTGCACCCTACCATGGCGCTGCACAAAAGTGACGTCATGCACTTTTTCGGTTAATAGTCGAAGTGTCTAGCGTTAGGTCTAGACATGAAAATAGAAGTCGTTAAAGTTAAATTCAAACGTAAAGATAAACAATGTAAAGTTGAGTTCAGTGTGACAATACAAAACCTGATGCAGGTGTTTTGGTTCAGGTCCCCTGGTGAGTGTTTACAAAGACATGGCGGCCGCTGTGATGGCACGGCGATGCCCTCGTTATACCTTCGTGCTTCGTTATAATTCCGACCGAGAGTGTATCGCTTGAGTACAGGCACCAATCATTATCTCAAATATGGTAAGCATTCCTCTAACTTTCACAGGTGAGTCGTGCTCTTCCCTGCCACCACTGCATGGTCTTGGATGCGCGCACAGCCAGTCGACATCTGTGCCGACGTCGTCATGTGTCTGCCTGCTTAACTATCACTATTTTGGCACTGTCACAGGTTAAACCGTGTCACTGGGTGTCAGTAACCTACGCCGTGCCGTTTCTCGTCGTCCTCGCTGGGCAGTGATTCCCGCTGCTTTGTCAGCGTTGGCACTACTGCCGGGGTCGACAGCGACGTGCACGGCTTGGACACCAACGTGGTTAATTGTACCTTACGAACTGACAGCAGGCTTGTGGAGCATCCGCGCAGTTCACTATTCTCGTCCGAGTGACGCGATTAAAAAAATACGCTCACTGATACAACTTCGCGTTCGTTTGGTGTTACATCGGACATTTGTTGCGTAGTCATTTCGTACGTGTAAATGACCACCCGATCCTTGGCGTTGCAGGTTATTTACCATGCTCTATCCAGATTTATTCATTACAACAGTTCAATTGTGGAGAATTTCGCTAGGCGGTGGATGATTTCGTACATGGTGCACCTCGCATTTTTTTTTTTTCGGCAACCATAAAAAGGTGTTCTGGCCGCAAAGGATAGTCGCTCAAAGCCACGAGGTTCCCGTTGGGCTTTCGACTCGCGGTGTATGCTTCAGTTGTGGACACGATCAGCTTGCCATTAAACTTTTGAGCAAACTGCATACCGAGTCGCTGCCACAACAAGTTGACGTTCCTGGGGCAAACATTTTCCCCCCAGAAGACTGTAAAAGGAGAGTCGCTCAAAGCCACGAGGTTCCCGTTGGGCTTTCGACTCGCGGTGTATGCTTCAGTTGTGGACACGATCAGCTTGCCATTAAACTTTTGAGCAAACTGCATACCGAGTCGCTGCCACAACAAGTTGACGTTCCTGGGGCAAACATTTTCCCCCCAGAAGACTGTAAAAGGAGAGTCGCTCAAAGCCACGAGGTTCCCGTTGGGCTTTCGACTCGCGGTGTATGCTTCAGTTGTGGACACGATCAGCTTGCCATTAAACTTTTGAGCAAACTGCATACCGAGTCGCTGCCACAACAAGTTGACGTTCCTGGGGCAAACATTTTCCTCCCAGAAGACTGTACGACTTTCGTATGTGCTGCTGATGAGTGTATGGAATCATCCTCCGCATAGCGAATTTCTCGTGGATTGAACTGCTGGAGAATGCACAAAAGATAACCTGTAATACCAAGAAATGGCTTGTCAAAATTCTAGTATTCAGTAATAGGACACTAAAGAGTAAAATCATTTTTCGCACATTAGTAAAGTACAATTTCACTATTCCGAAAACTTCTCTTACGCGACACGACACTGGTAAAGGGAATGCCTGAGTGCACAGCATGTTTAGATTTGCTATCTTACGGAAGCATAGTAGCTTAGATTTGCATAAGACTACTGGTGGTTAAAAGTTCCGACCTCTTTCGACAGACTAGTGATGTGCACGAAGATTATAACCCCAAGCTGTTAGAGGGCGAGTAATATATATTATGCACATTTAAGTTTTCCATTTAACCATGGACAGTACTGTAAATTGTCATCTGTGGATGCCATATACCTAGTACACGAAGTCTCAAAACATTTCATCAAGTGAATGTTGTAAAAATGTGAAAAAAAAATGTTTTCGAATTTTTGACCATGCACAGAGATTTCGGCTTGAAACATAAAAATGAAATTTTAACCTTGATTTTTCTGCACTAGTAATGAACTTATAATAGTAAAACATATGACATTGGACTTGTGGAACTGCAGTTGGCCAATCTAAACCAAATTTGTGTTTCTCTTCAGTGACTTTTTAAATAAAAAAAAATATATGGAGCTGTATAGGCAGCCTACTGGTGGACAACGGCAAGACAAATGCAAACGAGAATGGCATTATAACGAAATTGAGGGTTTCACAGAGTAAACTGGAAATTATGAAGGGAGACCTTTGTACTAGTGGAGGCTGGCGATGGTGTTTGAAGTTTTATGCCAATCACTGATGTTTTCTTTTGACATTCACAAACCCAGGACAATCAGCAGCCTCCTATGCAAGGTGGTGCGGATGATGGGGCAGCAGAAGACGAACGGCACCTGATTGAGAAAGTGCGTGTGACTACAAGAGCTAAGCTTGATGCAAATAACACAGGAAAGAAAAATTGATCAGTTGTACGTGGCAGTTCTGTTAAAAAGGGACCAATAACCGCTTTTTATGGTTTGCTTTAGCGCAACAGAATTTTTATTACGGAGAATCGCTGAAGAGTAATGTGGAAAATGCCGTGAAATATTTAAATCAGAAAATGTGAAGTCGTAAACACAAGCGACAACCCATGCTGCAAATAGCGTGGTGGTTTGCTGCGCATTTGTGCACTCAGCATGTTCCACTGGCTTGCGTGAGGTCAGTGGCACTTCTGTTTTATCCCTTAATGAGCACAAAATAGAGTTTGCATGAATAATATGCATATCTTATCTTTCAAGACGACTATTCAGCATCAGACTACGTGACCTCATATGGCAAAGTGATCAATTCCATAATGCAGCTTCAAGGCACTTTCTCTAGGCTGGGCAACATGCCAGTTTTTGTTACTTTTTAACACAATGCAAAAATATAAATTCTACTCCCAACGTGAGAAGGATGCTGGAATCTGCCACTATATTTCATGGTCTTTTCATTTCTATTGGGATCTAATCACAAATTCAGATCAGTTGTTGGCTCCTTTAAACATCAGAAGATAAAATAGGTCAGGAAACAAACAAGGGTAGCTAGTATTTTTTAGTTGGCATTAAGCAAAATATATGAAGCTGGACATGTAATGTATATACAACTGATAGAGGGTGACTGAAGAAATACCTACAGTGAATGCAAGCATGTGAGAGGCCAGATATTAGGTAACATTAGGCATTGAGATGTGAAATGCACCCTTTAGTGCAAGCATTGTTGGCCAAGTTTTAAGGGAATACGGACTTAAGTGGGGATGAGCTGAAAGATGGATTTATGTGGATACATACAGATCATCTACAAAATATCAGCAGCTAACATAGCCTAGCACATATTTGATATAAATACCAAAGTTTGTGCTGCACTACCGCTTTGAAATGGGGCTCCTTGCAGTGTTGATGTCAATGTGGTCTCACTGTCAACAACCACCTACACCTTTGTAAGCTGCAGAGCTGCTTGCATGTGCTCATTGCCGCAGTTAACGCGGTGCTACCTCAGTACCGCACGTAATGAGCGTGCCACTGTTTCAGACATGGGAAGGTAGGCTATGTTAGAACCGACTATCCCATCATCACGATATTGAAAATACACGCACATAAAAAGCCAGCTAGAATAAGGAAAAAAAAAAAAGAATTAGAAGCACAATCTACATTTACAACTTTTGGCATTGCTGGCAAGTGCCTAAAATAACAGTAATACATAAAGGGGGGGAGAGGGAGAATACTGCAGATAAAATTCATGCAGATAGTTTCATATCTTCATGATTACATATGAAGCAGACGACAGGCACTAAGACAGACACTAAGGGAATGATAGGGACACCGCTGCTAATTCCTTTTGTGCTGGTCGTCGTGTGCTGCTTCATTTGTAATGATGAACTATTACCAACTCGCCCAACTTTCGACATTACTGAACTTCATATCTTCATGTAGCCAGGGGTGTTTACAAACAATGTCCCACTTTCTCAGCACTCTCGGAAAGCATAACTGCAGCTGAGCTCAATAATATTCTCTCCGAATGATTAGTTGTGCAAACGAGGTTTCCAGCTATAGTAAGTGGGTTGTTAGCTACTTATTACTATGAAAAATATAATGAAATATATAGAATTTGTTAGTATACCTTTTGAGTTGCACATACCCTGCATTTATGACCCCTGAGGTCACTTAACATTACATGATGCCAGGGGCCTAGGCAGACATTTGAGGGGGGGGGGGGGGGAGCACCCTCTAATTTTTCGCTCTGTTGCCATGGTGAAAAAAATTTTCTGGGGGGGGGGGGGGGGGCAAAAAAGTTTCAGAAGTAGAATGGTGTTCATGGACGAAAGGGTTCCTTTGTTGCACACATTCTGCTGTCTTCCTTGAAAGCTCTTGGTCCTGACAGAAGGTTACTCATCTTATAAAACATGAACATAGCGTCACAAAGGTAAACAACTTAGAATGGAGCGTCCACAAGTTTTTGATGCTGCTTCCCCTTTGTGCTCTTGCTTGGATGTTTCATGTTTAATGGCTGGGTTTCAAGTTTGTCGCCTGACCCTTACTCCTAGTTTGCTTTTCTTCCTGCATGACACGATCCAATCGCATCCTGAGGTGCAGTGTACTGGACATAAAAACATTCTCGCATTGCGAGCAAACTACTGGTGGTTACAAAAGCTACCTTTTTGTATCATTGTTTCAAGAGGACATCACTCAGCTCGCACGGAATAAATTATTTGAGTTGCGCGAAGGAAGCTTCTAAAATAATTTTGTATGTTTAACGACACCGTGCACACGCTTTTCCTCGTGGATGACGCCCATATGCTGAGGCACTTCCGAAAGAAAGTGTGGCTGAGGGAGGAAAAACATTAAAATTGTATTGCTTGCCTCTTTCAGAAGCCGTGAAAATGGTTTCGGATTCGATTGTGGCACTGCTTGCTTTTCTGCACTGTGTTTTTTGGTATGTCCAGTACACTGGTCGCTGGAGCGGAAAGGGATATGTAAAACAAACTGTTGTTAATGAATGCAACTAAGATAACCATGATATTTGCCCTTTTGTTTTGGTATTATTGTAAAATTATTGTGAGTACTTAGTGGCTTGCATGTTCAACTTTCTTTGGCCCTGGGTTTGTAACAAAACAAGGAAAGCATGGTCCAAGAGGCTCAGCAACAAACATTGTGCATTTAATTCGAAGGTTTGTGCTCAGTTCATTTTTACATCAGCTTTGAATCTATGTCCCTTAATGTCAAAGTTACTGAAAGACTACAGATAATTTCTGCTATGCCTTGTTTGACTTCACTATATTGTGTTAAACGAAGGAACAAGCCTTTGGTCCATTCTTCTTATTTTGTTAACATCCAAATAGGTCTTTATATAAAGTTTCAAAGATGAAATTTTAATTTTATTTTGCCACAAATGTCCATGTTGTGGAATTGAGAGTGGTAACTCCTTTGTAAAAGTCTTAATACCACCCTTCGTATACCTAGTTTTAAAATTTGTTAGAAAATGCTTTGAATTTTGCAGTTTCTCCGAAGCCTTCCCCAAACAGATTAAAGCAGTTTTAACTGTGAAGTTGCAGTTTTTGATGCTAAGATTATGTGAAAACATCAGTTGGGACTGATTGAAATGCCTGTATATCGCAAGCAATTCCAAAGAAGCAAAGTGAGTGTCAGCTGTGTCTACTCTGGCCCTTCTAGCTGCCACTTTGCTTTAAGCAGCTTTGCTCTGTGTTGCACTACGTGTTGCAGGCCAAGCAAATTTACCTGAAAGGGGTGGCTGCCGAGCGAGCTGGACGCATGCATGATGGTGAGCGCCTTTCTTTTCTTGTGTGTCTTCAGGTGACACCCCCCCCACCGTTTTTTCAGCCATCTCACACTACAGGAGAGCTCTACAAATAGTCCCAGACATTGAATTCCGTATGGCCAGTGGCAGCGAATGGTCTGTAGGTGAGTGTAAACTGAAGGATTTTGCAACATTGTGATTTCACTCACAATCAAATCATGCTTACAGATGAGGAAAGCAGTGGCTCAGAAACGGAGTAAGTATCAACAAATTATTATGTTATTTTAAAAGTTATGCAAGTACTGTTTTGAAAGTGACACATTTAGTGCCAGCAACATTACCAGTAATACATTGAAGCTTGCCTGCAGATATTAGCATATGAGTGCCTCACCCATGAATGTCAGGAACGAACAAGCGCTTTTCTGTGTGCTCTCTAAGTGCGTGTATTTTTAGCACTTGTTTCATCATGAACTTTTACCAACACACCCGACTGGCACTCTTCCTAAACGAACAAGAGACTTAAGCTGGACTTGGGGGGTGATGCTCTTTTAAGGCGTTCCTCAGCAATGTGGGGCTTGTACGTGTTTACATTGGCCAGTAAGGCCATGTCCGTTTCAGCGACATGCCTGTCACACTTGGTAGTGCCTGCTCAAGCTCTTACAAGTATGTTTATTACTGTGGCAACAATATCAATAATACGTTCAAAAGGACAAGCAACAATGGTGTGCGAGCTTCTCTATTGGGAGCTTCCAGCTCATTTCATGGGGGCTCCACCTAACGTCACAGGGCGAGTGGTATGTGGTTGTTTGACCCCTTGAAAATCAAATTGAGGGTAGACTCTTTTTTTTTTTCTTCTATTTAAATTTCTCTGAATCAAATAACTTCAGGCTATGTGCTGCTGTTTTTGCTGTGCTAATCTGTTCGTTTATGACGAGTAAAAAATGGGAGCTTCTTTCAGTGTATTGTGGTATAGATGTGAAGTGGACGAAAAGCCAACATGCCACCAGCAGAGACCTTTGGATTACGCACTTGGTACTCCGCCACTCAAGCTTAAGACCATGCAATGAATGTCCCCTATACCTTTCTTGGCTTCATTATCCGCTGGTTTTCATTAGGGGAAACAAAGAAAAATTTTTCTGGCTGTTGTGTAGTATTACTTTTATTCCGCTCAAATTGTATGTTTTTTTTTCATGTCTTGTTGATTGACTGTTTTTTTTTTTTGTTGGCCCATACATTATGGTTGGGCTGTGGACTAGTCAAGCCGCTTATCAGCAGATAGACAGACAATGAACATTATTTGATCCTGAGGAGCTTTCGCGGAACCCCTCTCGGGGACCCGCGGAAGCCGCTGGCCGCGTCCAAGTCGGGGCTGGGACACCGTGATGTTCCGCCCTTTCTTGGGCCCTCTGGATTGCCTGGATTTGTGCTTGAAGCGATGGGCTCCGGAGTGTTTCTTCCCAGTCGGCTTCGCTGGATAAAGGGCCATTAGGTAACGCGGGGCATTGCCAAAGCATGTGCGCTAAGGAACAATAAATTTCATTACATTCCGGACAACTTGAGTCAAGGTCTGTGGAAATACAACTAAGAAGGCCCCGCGAGGCGAACGAGCCTGTCTGGAGCATTCTAAGTGTAATTGACTGAGACCTATCTAACTTCGGGTGAGGAAAAGGATAGGCTCTTCTACTTAGCCGATAGTGAGATGTGATTTCATTAAACGTAAGGAGTGGATCGTTATGCTGGATTTCATCCTGACCCCATAAGGCCTCCATGCCGCCGCAGCGCGTTAGATCTCGCACGTGGTCATGGGCAAGCTCGTTGACGTTAGGTACGTGCTGATGAACGTCCGCACCCATATGGGCGGGAAACCAAGAGATTAAGTGAGTGCCAGGGTCTGTTCTTTTTTCTAGAATGGGGGCAGCTTCCCACGCTATGTTACCCGACTCAAAAGCTTTGATGGCCGCTCGTGAGTCTGTTAACCCGGTGGTGTCTGAGCGGTCAGTCATGGCCAGGGCTATGGTGACCTGTTCTGCAACTGCGCTCGTAGCTAACCTGACCGAGGCTTAGGAGCGTAATTCCCCGTTGCCGTCAATGACTGCCAGCGCGAATGTGCTAGACTTGCTGTACTGAGCTGCGTCGACAAAGACAGTCGATTCTCGATTCTCGGCGGCGTTCTGTAATATCGCCCGTGCTCGGGCTTTTCGCCTCCCTACATTGTATTGCGGGTGCATATTCCGAGGGAATGGGCTGACCACAAAGGTTTCCGGGACCTCCCGGGATAAGGTAATTTCCCGTTCAGCAAGCATTCTGGGAGCCATGCCAGCCTCGTCCAGGATGCGTCTTCCTGCCCTGGTTGACGAGAGCCTGACCACCTGGGCGGTGACCTGCGCTTCGATCACTTCATCAATCTCGTGCATACCGAGTTGTCTTAATTTGTCAGAGCATGTGGTTACTGGTAGCCCTAGCACCTTTTTGATGCTCTTACGGATGAGAGTGTCTAGCTTATTTTTTTGCGTTCTAGTCCAGGTAAGCGCCGATGCTACATAATTAATTTGGCTCATTAGGAAGGCATGATGGATCCGAAGTAGGTTGGCTTCACTTAGTCCCTTTCTGCGTCCTGATACTCTAGCAACAAGTCTCAGCATGCTTTCGGTTTTGGCCGTGATGTGCGTCAGGGTTTCGGCGTTACACCCTCTCGTGTCAATCAGTAGTCCTAGGATTCTGATTGAATCTACTCGTGGAATGCGCTGTCCATTTCTTGCAAAAAGGGAGATGGGAATTTGGTCGAGGTGTGGAAGTCTCCTAACGCCTTGTCTGGCCGGCCTGTACAGTGACAGTTCTGATTTGTTTGGAGAGAGTTGGAGGCCTGTGCCCTCTAGGTAGGACTCCGTTTCGTCTAGGGCTGATTGCAGCGCGTTCTCTACTTCTGCGAGTGATCCTCCCGGGCACCAGATCGTGATATCGTCCGCATAAAGCGGGTAGCCTATATTGGGCAAGGATCTGAGCCTCTCCGATAAGCCCTTCGTGACTACATTGAATAACAAGGGGGAGATGACCGCCCCTTGGGGAGTGCCTCTGGCTCCTAAGGCGAACTCGTCTGACTTGTGTTGAGCGATCCCTATGGTAGCCGTCCTATTCATCAAGAATGACCTAACAAAGGCCTGAAACTTTGCTCTCAGACCTAGACTGGCCGTGGCCTTGAAGACAAAGCGATGAGATACGGTGTCAAAGGCCTTGGTCAGGTCAAGGGCTAAGATCCCCCTAACATCCCTAGTGCTGTTATCGAAAATGTGCTTCTTAAGAAGTAGCATTACATCTTGTGTAGAAAGGCCAGGCCTGAAGCCGATCATGTTGTGTGGGAATAGTTCCTTGCGTTCTATGTAGTTCGAGATCCTATTGAGGATCGCATGTTCCGCTACCTTGCCTACACAGGAGGTTAGCGATATCGGCCTTAGGTTGTCAAGATTTAAGGGCTTACACGGTTTCGGAATAAGCACAATCGAGGCCGCTTTCCACTCTGCCGGCACGCTTCCACTCTCCCAAGTCTTGTTGACCTCTTTCGTTAGCATCTCAATTGATCTATCATCCAGGTTCCTTAACAGTCTGTTTGAGATGCCGTCTGGTCCTGAGGCTGACCTGCTATTCAAGTTGTGAAGGACGGCCCTAATTTCAGACTCCGTGGAGGGGTCATCGAGCTCTTTTACCGTGTCACATTCTATTTCAGGATACTCTTCTGAGCGTTCTGCATCTAGCGGGAGATATCTATTCGCTACCTCATCTAAGAGCGTTTCTTCCGTTCCACCTTCTTCGTCTGTGCTTGTGAATCAGGCAGCACAGTGCCTGTCTTTGATTGCCTTTGGTCTGCGTGTCGTCTGGCATGTGTTTAAGAAGATTCTATTTCCCCCCTGTACGCATGCGTCCATCGACTGCTGAACAGATCTCATTCCATTGTAGCCGAGCTAACTCGGTGCAGTACTGTTCGATCTCCCTATTAAGTTCCGCAACCCTCTTTCGTAACCGTCGGTTGAGCCTCTGTGTTTTCCATCGCTTCAAAATGGAGGCTTTGGCTTCCAAGAGATGTGCGAGGTGCGGATCCATCCTGGGAACATCGAGCTCGGTTTGAATAGTTTTTGTGGCCTTTTCAACGTCTGCTCTGAGTGTCTGAATGAGTTCGCTGAAGCTGTCGTATTCGCCCGTGTCCTCGTTTCTGAGCTTTCGGAAAGCATCCCAGTCCGTCACTTTAAATTCCCTGGCCTGGGTGGCTCTGACCTGAATGGTAACACTAAGGATGAAGGGATCGCTGCCCAGGTTTTTTTGCTTGTTATCCCAGGTTGTTTGCTGTAAATTTTTGATAAACGCGAGATCGGGGGTTGTGTCTCTAGCCACCGACGTGCCCAGTCTCGTGGGAAACCGGGGATCGGTGATGACTGTTAGCGTTAGGTCATCGACTGCCCACGCTAGATTTATGCCCTTAGCCGTTTGCCTGATGTACGTACCCCCATGCGTTATGTGGGGCGTTGAAGTCTCCCGCGATTACTAACGGTGACTGTCTAGCAAGTGTAGCGGCCTTCGTAAACAGGGAGTGGTAAGACTGTCTCTGATCGGATGGTGGGCTGTAAACATTTAGAATGAACACGCTTTGTTTAAGCCACCTGTTAGGAATAACCTCAATGAAAAGCGCCTCCATTCTGCCACGACCTGGCTGAATGTCATGTACAACATATGCGATCTTTTTGCTCACCAGCGTAGCTATACCTCTCTTGGACTCCCCCCTTGCCGCCACCGATTTGTAACCAGCGAAGGTGGGTGTGTCGCACAGTGTTTCCTGTAGCAAAATTACCTGGAGCCTTTCTGCCTGAGCTGTAACGTACTGTTGCAGTGAGGTCTTGCGCCTTTGAAAGCTAGCGCAATTCCAATGCCAAATTACTAGATTATTTTGAGTGCCCGTCATTTTGCTAGTTTTAGTTTTAATGACCCTGCGGGGTCGCCCCCGCATCATCATTAACTGCAGCTTGTGTACGAACCTTTGGCCTGGTCTTAATAGCCATTTTATTCTCAAGTGCGACTACCTTATTTTCTATGGCTCCTACTTTACTCTCAAGTACTCTCATGCGCAGCACGAGTTGATTAATGCTTAACTGGTTTTCTTCGGAAATCCTAAGTAACTCTTCTAGCATCTTGTTCTGCGAGCTTTCGACTTGCATGTCCGAGTCGCTCTCATCCTTTGGAGGTGAAGCCTTACGCTTGGCCTTGTTGACCTCGACTTTGGGTTCCTGCATGCTTTTATGCACAGCGTTATCCGCCACATTCGCGCCCTCGACTCTGCTGGAAATGGCCTGCGCGGCTGTCTGCTTGCGTAGCTCTGCTTTGAGACTAGCAATCTCCTGACGTAACTGTTCAATCTCACTCTTTTCATCATGCTCCGGCGATGCCGACCGTCTTACCTTTTTGGGCTTGGTCGTCTTCTTCTTGACTCGATCCGCTCATGTGAGTTCCTCCTGGATTCTCCTTCTAGACGCCAAACGCCCTCTGGAACGCGAGCGGCTCTTGCGCAGCTGGCGTGACGGAGCGGCCTCTCCTGGGTGTGCCGGAGACGCTAGGTGAGACGCTGGAGTCGCGGGACTGCATTCCTAGGGCCATCTGCATCTTCTCGGAGCGCCGGTGGCGTTGGCGTCGTCTCCTTCTGACGATGTAGGGGACTTGAAATCTGTCTTTGCATGCTCTGTCTGCAGTAAGATGTGGACTTCCGCATAATGAACACTTTGGAGTGCAATGATGATCCTCCGTTGGTGATTTCTGTCCGCACGTGTGGCACCACTTGCTGTTTGGATTAGGGCAAACGTCAGCACGGTGTCCCAAACCTCCGCAGCCGTAGCAGACCTCCGTGTGTCTCCTGTATAGTGTGCAGCGAAACATGCTCGCACCACAGGACACATAATTGGGCACCTTCATACCCTTGAACAATACTACCACAGCTGTGGTGTTCTTAATTCTTTTGACCTCGATGGCTCCTGGGTCGCGGTGGTTCACAATTCGTGCTCGGAGCTGAGCCTCGCTGATATCCACGTCGACACCCCTTATGACACCTTTGCACGTGTCATCGGGAGGGAGCCGGGTACACAGAGACCCGGTACGTGCAATTGCCCAATCGGACTTGCTGCGTTTTTACGTACGCGCACGCATTCTTCTCATGAGGAGTACACACCACATAAATGTTTTGAGTGCCATTGGGACAAATGGTGTCCTCTTCAATTTCGGCTGGAGCCAGGGCCGCCGCCATGGCCAAGGCTTGCTCGAAACGTATTTGACTGACCTTGGTCACATTCAGACCGTCCCTCGGTCTTATGATGATGCGATACATGTCCCTCGGAAGTTGAGGGAGCCTCGAGGTGGCGACGATGCGTTGGTACGCGTTCCGTGGGGCGGCGGTGCGGGGGTGCGTTCGCGGGTAGTAGTCGCCGTTCTCCTTCCCTTGCTGTTCTTGCGGCCATATGCCGTCATCCAGCCAGGGCTGCTTGCTTCGTCCTGAGAGATTTCTTCTCCCTCCACGATCTCCATCTTGGGCTAAGGCGCCCGCGGTCGCAGGGTTAGGCCTAGGCCTACTTGCGCTGCCTCGCCGAGGTTAGGCTTACCGCGTCAGGGTTAGGTGTGCCGTGGCATGGTCGAAGCTGCACACTGCATAAAGGGGAAAAAGTCACCCACCGTAGAAACGCCGGTGTTGGTCAAGTCCTTGCAACGCACTGCCTCGTTCAACACATAATGTACTCGGTTTCGACGAAAGAAACCAACCAAAACATTGAAAAAAGCAGGAGCCGAAATCAGCGCGTCCGCACTAGTCGGCGCCCCCTAGCGGTCTCCCCCCGCTTATCGGCAGTTTTTTTTTTTTTTTCATTGCCTCCATCTGTATCAACATTGTGGAAATGAAGATTTTATTGGATTTGAAATGAGCCCTAAAAAATCCCCCCTTCAGTTCATTTAGAGCGAGGGCTTTGCTCATGCAGATCTGATTCTTTTTGTTGCCCCACGTGAGTGAGTGAGTGAAATAACTTTATTAGGGCCACAATAGACGCGAGTTAACCCAGCATTACCTGGCTAGGCCCGCTCGGGGACGGTCAGGTTAAACCTGGTTGCCCTCGCGCAGGTCGTCTGGGCGGCCTGGATTTGAGAAGTGAGGTCTTGGGCCTTAATCAGCTTGGATACCGAATGAACGACATTTGGCCACACTGAACACAAATGTTGTTTGCCAGTGACATCCTTTACACAGAGTCATCCTTGAGCAGTTGTGTCTGCTTTTACATTATGTTGCTTCGAATCTTTCCGCAAGACAGGCCCAAAAAGTGCCACAACCACTAGTTCTTGTTCAGTCCACATACGACTGTGCCCCCAAACTAAAGAAGTGTGGCTCTCTCATGCCTAGTTTGGTTGCATTGGCATCAAGGCTCTTCGTGTATGGCACTGACTATGCTGACACAGTACACGAGAAAAACATCTGAAAACACAAGATCAAACACAGACATGTGACTTGCACCCAGGGATACAGCTGATTCATAAAGGTATTGAATGCAAACACTGTACAACAGACAAGCAATATTATCTTCATACTCTCGCTAGTCTGTTGTCTATTGTTTGAGCTGATTACCATTATGAAAGACATTTCTCAACTCACCCTTCAACATTGTTGGATGCACCTGAATACAGAAGTAAAACTGCTTTCATATAAAACTGCGCGTGAATGGGCCTAATTTGGCAAGTTTGAATGGACGATAGAAATAGAATTGTTGCTCGGTATTCGCTACCCACGAAACTATCTGGGCTGTATGCGATTACTCTGCACAACTTTGTTTGCAGGTGTGATGATGATGATGACCCATCCTGTAGCAATGACAACAGCGCGTCCCTTCATCAGCGCATCAAGATGGAAACTTCATCAGCTAATGTCTGCTCTGTGGCCTTGGAACAAAAAGTATTGAATTTGCTTTCATGTAGTCATGGCACTTTTCTTATTATGATTATTAGTGCAAATGTGTTGTAAGCTACACTATCCTTGATGTCTTGTTGTATTGAATGCAGTAATCAGAAGTGATGGTGTTTGTGTACTTGTGCATGGTAGTTAAGGATGTTTATGTGCACTGCAGGCGACACACATCTCTGACCTTCCTCGGGAAGTATTCATGTTTATACTGCGCTGGGTGGTCTCTTCAGACTTGGACATCTTGTCGCTTGAAGCGGTGTCAAAGGTACGTGCCATGGCTGCCTCAGACCGGAAAGTCATGCCTCAGTCTGTGCAGGTGTGCCGTGGCTTCTACCTCTGCGCGCGGGACCCTGAACTGTGGCACACCGCTTGCATCAGGTGAATGGCATTTCACTGTTGATATCGTAGGTTGCTTCATGAAATAAATGCATTCATGCAATCAGGGGAGCATGGTACAGTTTAATCTGTTTTTGAAGGCTGCAATATGGTTGATAGTAACAAAGCAGCTGTTAGCTACCACAGAGCGAGAATAACCCTTTCAGGCATGAATTATGATGCACGGTCTGCAAATGCGTCAAATTCACATGGCACGATTATAAGGCACTCAGTATCACATTGCAGGAAATAAAATGAAAGTATATATTGTTTTGTGCGAGTTTCAGTAATTATTGTTGAAGGGCCAGTTAACGATCTCGAGGTCCACAAATTGTTAGGAAGAGAAATATGTGCACATGTAAATATGCTGTCTCAAGAATTTCGCTAATATGTGTCATAATATTCTCGCTATACACAGGTTAAAACATCTTTTTCAGCTGGTTTCGAATTTGCATGTGGTCTTGCCACCCTTCTCTGTCATTAGGAGTAAGAAGACGTAGCCTGTCGTCGTAGATCCGCCTACTTTGGCAGCGTGACCTGACATCATCGATATGTCATTGGCGCGCACCGAGCAGGGCAGCCTCGACATGAACACGTGTCATAGCGACGCAGGGAGGAAAAGCAGTTCGAGGAGCACCTGAGCAGTAAAGTAGCGAGATGCCTCCCAGAGGCTTTTGCTCTGGCAGTACCACTTCTCCCGGTTATCTCTGGCTCGACAGAGGGCAGCACGGGAAAATGAAAGTGCCAACTGCGCCTACCACCATGATGGGAATAGCAAGAGGTGGCAATTAAAACTTTCTTTGTCAGGCACCACTAGCGTGATAATTTCTCCATGGAGCGTCACTTTTTACAATCACTGCAAAGCTCCTAAACGTTTCTTGCCTGAAAAGCGTCTGGCATTCTTAGAAATAATTACTTCATTAACTGCATTCTCACCATTTATGATGTTAAAGCAGCTTTGAAAACGCACATTCACAGAGCAACCAGACCTAGTGCAATGCCTTGTGCAAGATGGTTGCTCTCACTACGAGTGCATTACTATTACTGCTGCATGTACGTGCATTGTATTTTTTGTGGGCTTCAATACGCACATGATAAAAATAACTGAAAGAATTGCAAGAAAGTGATGTAGGTGTTTATCTAGTAGCCCTCATTTGTAGTGCATAGATGTCTAATCTAAATGCAGTACTTTATTAGAAAGTTAGCCGGCCATCGTAATTTCATTAATCAGCAAGAATGCAAAAAGACTAAAACTCCTATTCAGATTGCTATCAATGTCATGCAATCGATTTCACTTACCTGAAAGGCTCACAGTTTTTTTTTAAAGCTTGTTAACTCAGGCACCCTATACGGCTAATGGTGAAAGGTAGTCGAACTTGCAGTCTTGCATACCTTGCTAAATATAACATTTTTAATTGCATGGTTTGAGAGGGAAACACCATCTTGCTAAGTTAAGGGGAGATGCGGGTCAAAAAACGCGAGTTTTTTTCAAAATTACCTATTTTTTATTTTCGCCTGTTTTGATAAGATTAGTACCTCTACTGTTATGAAAAAAAAAATAATACAGGTCGAGACTTAACTGGAAATGCTTTAAAATTGCATCTAAAGAGCACAAGGTGCCTGTTGAAAAGTCGAAAGTGTGCAGTCTTCGAGCACCATGCCGCTGATAATGCGCCACCGCTCGCCATTGTTGATCGCATGAGTCGAAGAGTCGAGCCTCGTTCTTCAAATAACGACAATTTCTCTCGCTCATGCAGCGCAAGTAATAATAAAAAACAGCACTCTTCGCGTTTTGCGAGCGCCGCAACTGGCTTATCACATGGTACGAATGAAGTTCCGCCATTGGCCGCTGCGCGCCTGTATTTGCTGTGAAACCTATTTGCGGGGTCCATGTCTTGTCGAGCAGCGCAGCTGAACAATGCTTTTCTCATGTAATTAACTTCGTTATGAATAAAAAAAGCCATTGCTCGCAAGTGAAAGCCGTTGTGCGGCGCGCTCTGTAGGAATAGGCTACAAGCAGCTAGTCCGATTTGCGGCAGTTGTTGACTTGCAAAAGCCAATGCATCGAAAGTCATTCACACCCGTCAGCGCCAATCTAGAGAGGTCGAAAGAGCTCGCAGTGAGAGAACTTAGCAGGGACGACATTGCCATTATGTACGACGGTATGTGACACAAACTTGGCTGCAAAATGGCATGCCACTGGATTTAGTTTCGATTTCACAGTCCTGTCGAACTTCTTCCTAGCTTGCAGTTGGCACAAGGCTCTGCCAGATGGAGCGGAAGTTTGGCAAGCGGTTCATGGCCCTGTCTGTGAGCGAAATGTCGTTGAGGAGTCGGCTCGAAAAAGCCGAGAGGTACAAACTCATGGTGCTGGCGTATTCTAGTCGCAGTGGCCACTACAAGAAGGATTGTTCTTTTTGGTGTGCAAACTTCATCTGATTTAATGATATCTTTCATAAATAAAAACTCAATTTTAACTTTCAAACTCATTTTTCTCAAAACACAAATTTTGCCATTTTTCCAATGTGCCCCTCCTTTTTTGGGCACTTCTAGTGCTCATATCTGCATAAAATTTTGCCCAAATTTTTTCCGAAGTATGAAAAATGCAATTATCTAGTTTAAATTGCAATATTTTATTGTATAATAAAAATTGTATGTATACCTTTACTTAGGTAGGTGAAATATGGACTTTTTATGTCTATTATTTTTCACGTGTATTACATATTTTGTATGTGTTTCCTAATTACTTACTTGCACTCTACACTTTATTTGAAGTATTATGAACTATGAATGGTAAAAAATTACTGAAGTTTAGGGCTGAAAAGAGGGGGGCAAAAGGGTTAAAGTTTTCACTTTGTCATGTTACTGAGCTAAAAATGTGTAACTTGCAAGAAAACTAATTATATATTTGAAATCAGCATAAAAAGTGTCATAAACAGCTCAAGTTTCATAGCTCTAGCATGAATATTAAAAAAAAAAGTGTCTTCGAGTAGCATCTCCCTTGAAGGCCATTCGAGACGGACCCATTACGTACAATGACATCTCAACACACTTTTACCTTGTATGCCGCGTTTTTCTGCCCCCACATCCCAAACTTAAAGGAACGCAGGAGCTAATTCTACGCTCATCAAAAATGCACACGTACCCAAACGTTGGCAAGCTTCACGTTTTATATTCCGACGCATACCCCAGCGACACGTGCCCCTCGTGCGGGCACACGGCAACACGTGCACACATGCTGTGAGATTTCAGAGACACTCATACCGACTTTACCTCAAACGAGTAGGAAAAGTCCCTCAAAATCTCACTTCTGGCTGACCAGCAATGGGTCGTTCTGCAGGACCACCAAGCGGCCGCCAGGTATTCCCTGTCAGTCCCTACGTGGGTGACGCCCACTAAGCGCGGCGGTCAGGACAGAAGTAAAGTTTTTTCATTCATGTCAATGGAGTTTTAAATGGCAGAATCACTGTAACCTTTTATGACTGTTTTTATAGGTTTCTTGTACTGATAAGGCAGAAAAAACTATGCTATTGCATCAAAGTTGATCGAGGAATGTTGTGCTTAGTTGAACTCTGCTGATCTGTATGTCTTTCAATGCAGGACATGGGGTGAAGGTTGTGGTCAATTGAACCAGTACGACTCTTGGAGAGAAATGTACATTTGCCGACCTCGGATCTGTCACAATGGTGAGTAGCCACTGCTTTATGACATCCTTTTAACATTAGAAAGGCCAATGGTGCAACTTGTAATGCGTTGAATATGCAAATCAGCTTGTTGAAGCTGCAACCTCTACAGGTCCTCAGTAATGTTGATGAAACAGAAAAAAAAATTTTTTTGAATATGGCACCATTCCCACCTAGGAAGAAACATCTGATAGAGTAAAATTTTCATTATTATTAATATTGCCACAGTTGGACATTCGCAGAAGAGCATTGCAATAGGATGGAAAGGTGGGCTAGTTGGTAATTCATGATGGTTCAGCGAACTGGGAGCGCGGGGGTAAACACAGACACAATGCTGTTTGCCTCCTCTTTGCTTTGTGTCTGTGTTCACCCCCGCGCTCCCAGTTCGCTGAACCATCATTCGCAGAAGAGGCAGGCAACGATTTGCGTTTGTTAGTGGCAAGAAAAGTGTGCCATGAAACGCCGTCCTGCACGCGCCACGGTGCTACCCCATGTCATGAGCCTGGAGGGGTGAAGAAGAGACCGACCAAGTTTGAGGACAGCGATCGAGGGACATTTTGGTCGACCATTTAGTTTTGAGTTTACGGGCACAGGTTCGCCTTAAATAAATAGGTTTTTTAGTACCAGGTGGTATACGTATTGATGACAAGATATATGTAGAGAGTATATTTGTGGTATATTGACTCGAATACGCATATGCATCAAAGTGGCCTCAGTTCGGAATTTTAGAAGACGTTGGTGAAGTTTTCTGTTGATATGATCGTGCTAACGTTTCAAGGGTGGTTTATGTTTATTTGCTTTAAAGTCAAATTAGTAAATTGTTGTTAAATTATTATGTACTAAGAAAGGCTTCACTTATAATTACCTTGGCCAGCCAGAAAGGACCCAAAATCAAGATGGACACACCCTTTGCTGTGCCAAAATAGACCAAATATCTGTAACATCACACTAAAGCCTGGTTGTGGTATGAAATTTAAAAAAAATGCTTTTTCCTGCTGGTTTTTTAAAATCTCCAGATTAACTTAGTTAGGGTACACTTCTGAAGTAGCGCATTTTTCTCTGTACGCAAAACATTAATTTAGCAACAAAAGCCAAGTTGATAAGTAGAGTAGCACGATGATATTAGTGCGGGTAATGTGAAAGGAGCACGGCAATGGATGCAGTGGCGATGACAATGGCTCGCGTGATGTGGACTCTAGCACAACTTGTGGGTGATTCTCGGTGGCAGTACTGGCCACGTTGGTCTGTTGAGGTTATGGGGCTCGACTGTTGGCCTCCAATGCCAGTCATGGTGGCATTTCTGATGGCGGCAAAAATGCTCGAGGCCCGTGTCCTTAGATTTAGGTGCACGCTAAAGCAGCCCATATGAAGGACCTTGCCGCAGCCCTACACTATGGCGCTTCTCAATCGTGGTTTTGGGACGATTTACTCGCGTACTGAACTCGCCGTTTTTTCAGAAAAGTTTACAACAATTTGTAGGGAGGGTACCAGCTTGTTGAATGGAAATAAAAAATTTCCTTTCAGGTAGCTTTGCATCAGGTTGCCAACCCTGAAGAGAGCCGTTTCTGTTTTCTTTTGCTTCTTTCATTTTCTTCTTTACCACATTTTCCTGTCCTTTTTTCTTTCTTCCTCTCTCTGTATTTTTCTTTCCTGCCCTTTTTTCCCTTTGTCCCTCTTTATTTCATGCTTACATCCCTTTGCTACGTTTATGCATGACTTTGCTTATTGATCATAAGAGGTGATGGTGAAAAACTTTATTATAAAAGAGAGCGTATGAGCCCCTGAAAGGGCCTTACAGACTAGGTGACCTCCTCAGTCCAGGACGTCATTGGAATATGCCGCTGCCCTTGCTCGGGCAATCAGGGCCTGTTAGGCCCCAAGGTCGGAGCAGCTAAGCAGCGTCGCCTCCCAGTACTCTCGCGTAGGTTTGCGGAGGGGAGAAATGGCTGTGTTTAGCTGACAGGCCCACACCATGTGGTAGACATCAACTGTCTGCCCACAGTGCTTGCACCTACCAGTGACTGTGGCGTCAAAATATTGTAATATCGCCGGGCATAGCAATGTGTTTGTTTGGAGCCCGCATTTTCTGCGGTTGCGAAAGCCCCTGCAATTCCACTGGATAATTTCGAGTTGTTGGTCCAATTTTTTATTGGTCTTCCACTGTGTCGATGCCATGATGCCCTATTATTCTTGAAGAGTAGTGACCTGGGGGCTCTATAGAGGCGAGAAGACTGCGGATTGCCTGTTTCGAGTTCGGTGCTTCATGAGGCAAAGTCTGTATTGTATGAGCGAGCGAGTTTACTTGCACGATATGATTCCCGGAGTGAGCGCGCGCAACTAGTTGCTCGTGGGATGGCAAGGAGCCACTAGTGTAGTGACCTGGTGTGTCGCCTGCTGAGTTACCTGCTGGTTTATAGCAGAAATGTGCGCCAGCTGCTCCGTCATGACTTGAAACAGATTTTTAATGTTAGTGAGGCGCCACTTATGATCGACGAGAGTTCTAGCACTTGTGCTTGTTTTAGGATGGGACACAGACGTGCTGGCCGAGCACTCAGAGACCGTGTCTTCAGGGTTTTACATGTTAGACTCTGGACAGGAGTTATAAGGCGTGCCTTCCTCTAGGGCCTGAATTTTTGCTGATAGTTGCGCAGTTTGCTTTTTAAGGAGCTTTATCTCTTTGCGCATTTTGAGTTCGAGAGGTGTAGGGTGGGGAAGGTTAGTAGGATGGGAGGCAACCCTTGCCTAGCCGCTCACGTGTTTGTGTTGTTGCTGTTCCAGCAGAGGGAATTCGCCTAGGTTCATAGATAGTAGCAGTTCTGGCACCCCGGTCTGAGAGGCCAGCTGCTTTCGAGGTTGTTTCGGTCTGTTCCGAGGACGGTAAAACCTGCATTGCTGTTTTCATGAGGTTATTAACCCCCTTTGCTATGTTGTGGCTGCTGGTGGTGGTCAGGTTGCTGGCGGGGTGGTCGTGCTAACTTTCGGGCAGGCCAAAATTTCCTCTTGCATGCAGCGGATCCAGTAAGATGACCGTCTCTGCAGATGAGACATATTGGCTGGCATTCGTGTTGAGCCGTGGCATTGGAAGCGTCTTCCGTAGTTTTACCGCACTGGTGACAGTGGCCAGTTTCCGGGTTGGGGCAGTGGCCAACCGTGCCGCATTTATAGCACGCGGGAAGCATCATCTTGTAGCCTCGCATCATAACGCACTCAAAGTTGTAGTTAATGTAGCGTGGTAGCTTCCTGCCAACGAAGGTGACCACCACCACAGGAGATTGCCCGAGCTTCCGAACGAATGCAATTTCACCTTTGTGCCAGTATAGTTAGGACTTGAGGGACTCCGATGTTTCATCTTCACGGACAGAAATGACGCTGCGGCAAACCTCTTCGTTGATTTTCAGATGACTTCTAAATGGGTAGGACGCCTCTCCCACTCGCAAGTCGAAGTCCTTGATGAGTTGATCAGCGACACGCCTGATTAGGCTAAGTGCACACCAACACATTTTGTTCCAGACAGGCCACACATTCAAGTCCCCGGCAGTGACTGCAATGATATAGCCGGAAATTGCGGTGCCAGTGTCGCCGTGGCGGAACACTTTCCAAATGTCTAGTGTAGTACGCGGCTTGAGCACAATTATTATGTCTTCGGAGCACACGCGAGGCGTCTGAGCCGGTCGCCACCACACGAGCGTGTTGCGTTGAGACGAAGGTAAAGCACTGGCGTCCTTTGCTAAGGTGGTGTCAGTGAAACACACTTGTTGCAGGGAGGGGCTGGCATTAACTTTTGCAGAAATATTCGATCTTGTCTTGCCTGTCGTTGTTGACGAAGGCGAATCAATGCTTGGAAGCATTAATTTTCAGTAGGGGTGTCGTCTTCGGCTGCCAATACTTGAATTTCGGCCTACTGCATTGATATGGGGTCATGTCTGGTGATCTTCTGAGCCGCCATCGCTGGGAGACGCCGGCGAGCAGCCGCGCTGTGCGCTTCAAGTTGGTGTGGAAATTCCAAAATTGGTCCCACCTGCATAAATGTGGTCTCCCCTGGTCTCTCATGACATTAGAAACACGATGAAACCATTTTCATTGGGCAAGGCTATGGTTCCGCGAAAATATTGAATGGTTGACGGAGCTGACGGGCCGCACGTCCACTCGCGCCGCATCCAAATCACGTCTCTCCCGCTCTATAGTCTCTGATCATAAGTGATCGCCATGAGGGTGCTCCTCAAAGAGCAAGAGGAAGCAGTGTTCTCCTCAGCTACAAATGGAGCGTTACGACAACCTGGTCACCAAAGTGCTCTGCACTTATGGTATTAAATGTGAGTGCTTTTATTATTAGACTTATTTTAATGAAATTAGGTGTGTATACATGTTCTTCAAAAATTTAGTCTATATTGTACCTCAGATTATGAGAAAGTAAGGCTAATTTGCTCATTTCTTATGAACATTTTTGGTGAAGTTTAAGATGCAGCTGCCACCAAAGATCTGCCATGTGGAGCTATGCTATTCATATTGATGCTGATAATCATCATATAAAAATGTTCAGTTATGTGGATGTTTCAGAATTCTGAAATGTAATTATCTTGCATTATTGTTCATTGAATTTCATATGTTCAACTTAGCCACACAGCATAACTCCACAGTTTGATTCCTTATAACTTCAATGGTATAATATTCATTCAGATTGATTTACAAAAACAACGAAAAGTTCCATGAGGTTAGTCAGGCTAGCAAAAAAGTAAAGCCAAGAAAATCGCACTGGCAGTTTTGACACTTGCTGCTGAAATTTCTAAAATGAATCTTCAATAATAAATTTTATTTAGATGTTTCCTATCTATTTCTCTGCTAAACAAAATATAAATTTTCTTATTTTATCCAAGGAGTCGTTTAAAAAATTTTAATGTGGACAGCGTGATCTAAGCCCACCATGGCAAGTGGTGGGGGGGACCATGGGGTATGAGACTAGACTAAAGCCACTGGTTCCTGGTAAATTAATGAGAAATCGATTT